AAAAAAAAAAAAAAAAGAAAGAAAAAAGAAATTCTTCTCTGTAGGGAGCCAAGCCCACACACCCTGGCAGTGGACAGGCTCTGCTGGCAGTGTTCATGCTGCCCAAGCGGCACAAGCTCTGCTCCTTCCCAGCCCAGGACAGAGCTTCAGAGACCCGAGGAAGTGCCTCCCCCTTCTCACCGTACACAGCCACGCTTCCTCCCCCCTGTGCCCCTGGAAACGGTCCAGTTCCCGTGCCTGCCCGGCACACTTCATGTCACACCAGGCTGCTCATATCCTACGGGCTGGTCGGCCGGACCCTCACGGGCACAACTGCGTGTGCAGACAGAGCCAGGCTCTGGAGCGAGGCCCATGTGCAAATCCTGCGTCTGTCTCAACAGACTGTCTCACTCTTTTGTTTTGGTCTGTCTTTGTCTTTTCAACCCAGGGACTTCCCATTGAACCACATCCCCAGTCCTGCTTTTATCTTTTATTTGGAGACAGGGTCTTGCGAAAGACAGTAAGTTGCCCTGGATGGGCCTGAATGTGTGATCCTCCTTCCTGGCCCCCCAGTGCTGGGGTCCTGGGGGTGTGCCTCCGCCTCTCTCCTGTCATTCAAGTGCCCCGGGAAGTGGGACCCGCAGGCCCCTTACAGGGGAGTGACACCAATGAGGGAACAGGAAGTTGAGAGTGCAACAGAGGGGTCACATGACCCCTCAGGGAGGTCGGGATCTGGGTGGCCCTTCAGCGCTGCTCCAGAGACAGGGGATGGGACCTTTGTCCTCGCAGCAACACGTCACCGGCTGTGAGCTGTCTCTGCGGAGGGGATGCACGTTTGCGTGAGGCAGCACGTCCTCCCAGGGTAATTCCCAGGAAGGGACTTTCCGTGAGTCACCGACACCCTAGCAGCTGGGGAAAGGAGTGTGTCAGTGCTGCAGCGGGCTAGTAACTGAACGGTCATTGTCACTGTCACTGTCATTACTACATGGGACACAAATTCCAATGGGACCTAGTGAAGAACAGTCACCTCTCTACTTCCAGACTTTCTGTGTTTATTTATGCAATCCCAGGTCACATAAACTCATTCCAACTTCCTGGGAGCACCGCTGTCTGCGGACCAGCCATCCTTCCAGCCTGAGCAGTGGCTGGGCCAGGTCTCCAGAGAAGGAGGAACAGTGAAGATCCCAGAGTGGGGACGCCCGAGGCCAGCACGGCTTTTGTTTTGTATGTTAGGGACTGAACCCGGGGGAGCTGAGCTACATCCTCAGCTCCTGCCTGGAGCTTGCAGTCCTCCTGCCTAGCTCCCGAGTAGCTAGGATCACAGGTGTGCACCACCACGCCCAGCTAACATCGCCTCCTTCTTGCTTTTCTGTCTTTCAGCAGTGACAGTGCCGTCAGGAAAGCTCATCTCCTCCAGGATGGTAAGGCAGCTGCTCCCTCTCCCGCCCCTGCACAGGAGTCCTCTCCCCCACGCTAGGAGACCAGTATCATTCTTCTCCACACTGTCGCTCGGTGTCTTCAATAGCCCCGAACTAGTGAGTGGCCTTCTGAGCCCCCAAGTCCCCCGGACGACCTCCCGCAGTGTGGGGGCCCGGCCCTCGTCACCACCCGAGCCTGACTTCAGAGGCCTGTGATCTGCCCCAGCCTGGTCCCCGAGCCCCTCTCCGTGAGCGCCCCTCTAGGCGTGGCAGGGCACAGTACTTTCCCGGCTCCAGGCAGAGTACACAGGCCACGGGATCCAGGCAGGAGAGGCGCCCTTGCGTGCAGAATGACCCTGTGCAGTGCCAGCCTCCCCAAACACACCTACCATTCCTCCCCTCACGCTGAGAAGGCAGACACAAGGCGCCCCTGAACCCTGACTCCACCTCGGCTGGGTCTGGTATCTCGTGATTCTAGGGCAGTGGCACTGGCGTCCTTGGGACTCTCAACCCACCGCTTCAGTAGGTGACTGAGAAGCTCACGGGCCCCTTGCCAAGCACAGCCTCAGCACATTCCCCACCAGCTCGTCAGAGCCTGGTTCCATTCCCCTGGTGCCAGCTAACAAGCCAAACACAGTACTTTCCCTACAGGAAGTCAGAGGCATTCGTAAGTCCGACCAAGGGAGTCTTGTACATCTTTGACACAAATATACAGTGTAAAGCGTGAAAAAAACCAAACACACAAATGCTGTGAACTATTTTTACTTTTATAGTTACTGTAAAATGATGGTACAGTACAGCACAATTGTAACTAAACTACTTGCACTTTTACAGTTACCTTAAAATAGGTTCGGTGTGGTCAACAGCTGGCACATGGGGAACTGCAGGACTGGAGCGGGGAAGGGGGGGCGTCATCTGACGAGGAAGAAGAGCGACGACTCAGACATCACTGGGTCGTTTCTTCTAGGGGGCAGACAGGACGGAATCCATCAGAACCCCTGTGTCTTCAGCTCAGGTGCGAATGGAATTCCAGCCTGCTCTCCATCTCCTACCTGAGCTGATGACCCCCGCCCCGTCAGTAACTATGGCACCGCGAGGTCCACTGCATCTGTGAGTTCAGGACTCGAGCGCTCACTAGCTAGGGACTTCCTGTACACGGTTTTCATCAGTCCCATGTGAAGGGCACATTACTGTTTATGATTTTTAATGAGGAAACTGATGTTCAGAGAGGGGAAAGAGCTCGTCCAGGTGTACGTGGCCCGTCGTGCAGAACCTGTGGAGCCCAGGCCTTAACTGCTGCAGCACAAGGCCTCCCTCACCTCCCCCGACCCTCGCCCCAACCTGCCTTGACTAATTTCGGAGTCTCAGGCGTGGCCTGAAACCCTTTGAGACTAAGCCTCAATTAAGTTCCCCGCCTCATTTTTCCAGGCTTCCCTGACTGTTCCGCCTTCCCGCCATGCGCCTGATCACGCACGCAGGCCGGGGCGAGTCCAGGAGTCCCTGGCGAGAGAGGCCTCTGGGCATGAGAGCGGCTCTGTCTCCTGGGGTCCCCCGGTGGACCAGCGGAGGAAGTTCTAGCTAGACTCTCTGAGAGTGTGTGAGCCAGTCCCCAGGAGCTTGCGGGCACGAACTCACTCCACACACATACACACACGCACACGTCTGGATGCTCACACACCTGGGCTCAGCAGACACAGGTGCACACTTATATGCACACCCAGCCAAAGGCACACATATATGGTCACGTACACACAGATGCAAACACACTCTGGGGTCCTGGGTGACTGCTTTCAGGTTCACTGGATTCAAATGAGCCTTCCTCAATCGGCGTCCCCCTTGCCTCTCAGGCTACAAGAAGGGCCCCCAGGGCCCTCCCCACTGCTCCTAAACCGGAGTCCCCTCCCTCCTCTCTCTGTCCCTCAGCCCATCTGCGAGAACATGGCAGAGCCTCCAAACTGTCCCCAGACACCTAACCTCATCTGCGGCACCGACGGGCTCACGTACAACAATGAATGCCAACTCTGCTCGGCCCGCATGTAAGTGCCCCCGCCTCGCTCCGGGGCACACAAATCTGAAAGCAGCAAGACTGGACTGGCCTCTTCCTTCGCCCACACTTGGCCTGAGAAGTCTTTCAACCGTAACCTCTAACAGAATGAGCCTGCCTAACTCAAGGAAGGTGTAAGGTTCTAAGCAGAAAGCAGCAGCACACTTTGGTGGGCATAGAAACCCGTTTGTTTGAGACAGGGTCTTGCTATGTAGTCCAGGCTGTCCTTAAATTCACTACGTAGCCCAGCTGGCCTGGAGCTCAATCCTCCTGCCTCAGCTTCCCAAGTGGGGGCGTTACTGGTATGTGCCACACCTGGCAAACCCTGGGTTCTTTTCCTTGTTCCGCTAGGAACCTCATTTGTTCTTTCATTCCTCAAGCCAAGAATTAACTGAGTACCTACTCTGTGCAAGCCACGGAGGCTACAGTAGAGCACGGTCAGATAAGACAGTATTACTGGCCCGCAGCACAGCGGGTCGAAGGGGGAAGCCAGGCTGATGGCAGCTATTTACAGCACAGAATGCGCAAGGCTCAGGTGGGACGCAGGGTGCCGCGGGAGCAGGGAAGAGGCCAGCCAGGGAAGACTGCCTGGAGGGCGGTAACACCTGCGCACAGCCCTCAGGAGGGATAGGCAGAAACTAGTGGAAAAAAAAGGGAAGATAACTTCAAGTAGAAAAAAGGTACATGGAGAGGCCTGGGAGGGAAAGAACATTAGGACAAAGGAGAGTGCAGGAAGCCTGGACAGGCCAGTGTAGTTTAAGGGAGAAGGAGGCGGAGGCAGTGCGTCAGCCCAGTGAGGTGAGGGCCAGAGCGTGACCTCAGTTCCTCAGATCATCTGCTTGATCTCAGTTTCTCCACCAATAAACCCTCAGTCTAAAGCTAAATGAGATCATGGAAGAGAACAGATGTAGCTTGTATGCGGAAAGATAAGAGGGACGTCACTGTCCTGGCTTTTAAAAAGATCATGATAAGTAAAGACACATGGCTAGGCGACCCGGTGGGTAGAAATGACAGGCTCGGTGTGTGCTGGAGGGGCAGGGCAGCGGGGGAGGCGTGTTTCTAATTTATGGGCGGCTGATGGGATGGGGGCTATGGAGACAAGAGCAGCAGCTCTGGGGGCGATGCTTGTGCACAGAGGGGCCTCTGGTACATCCCAGCGCAGATGTGCGACAGGCAGGGACAGGCCGGGCTAGAGACTCACAGCAGCCGTCAGCATGCAGTGGTGGCTGAAATCTCCCAGAGGGAGGCTATGGAAGGGGCAAGGTTATAAAGGATGTACCCATGGACGCCTGGGACGGTGATGGCGAACCTTTTAGAGCTCTCAATGACACAACCGGCCCGCTGTGGCACACGTGCCCTCCGAGCTACCCCATTAGTCCATGGGCGGGGTTCAGTGTCCATGACAGCTCCCACACGTGCCTCATCCTAGTTTCCTGTGATTCTAGAAAAACCAAAAAAGACATCCAGATCATAAAGGATGGCACATGCTGACCCCAAAGGAATGCCTTGAGCTGTGAAGCTTTACGCTGAAGAACAGCAGTGGGTGGGAAGATGTGATGTCAAATAAAAGATCAGCCCAATCAGCAATGTGGACCACTGTCTTGGGAACTCAGGAGGTGGCTGCAGACCTCGCACTGCCTGCCCTGCTCTGAATCTGAGGTGCGGCTCCTCTCCACCCCTCTGGTGCTCCTCAGCCCTGTCCTGTGTCCCCTCAGAGGTGTCGGTATCTTCTGCCTAACGGAGAGGTCAGCCTCTCACACTTCTCAGCGCTCCTGCCTGCCCCGGCCTGCACTGAGGACAAGGGTCTGAATGAGACAACGCCCTTCAGGTGTACGGCTCTGCCTCACCCACGCCCTCCACGGCTTTCTGCCAGGCTGTGCGGGCACTTGGAGTATGCAGACAGCTGAACACAGCAACTTAACACGGGCACGGTACACAGGCTGTGTACACAGTACAAGTAAACTACTTAGCGTAGTATTGAACTAGGTCTTTAATATTCAAAACCACAAGCAGCCCCAAGCCCTCTGAGTCCCCCGCCCCTTGCCACCCGGACTGTCACCTGGAAAGCCCTGCATCTCTCAGTGTCCCATGTCTAGGGACTCCTGGCACAGGACTTCCAAAACTACTCTGCTCTTTAAGTTGGCATCTACTGGCTGGTTGACATCAGACACAACTCCAGGCACACACAGCACACACGCACTCACACAACAGCCCACAGCATCCAGAATCCCAGGGAGACCCAAGTTTACAGGTACATGCCAAAGCCCATAGGAGGAGCCCTTAACAATGGTGAATGTGTAGAGGCCTGGCCAGATGGGAGCAATTTCACACAACTCGGATTTCTGCCCGAGGGGCAGAACAAGTAGGAAAAGCTATGTGAAAACACACATCAAAGAGGAAAGCAGGGCAAGGAAGGAAGGAGCCAGCATTCCCTGAACCACTAAAATGGAAACACCAGAAGAACTGTTGCTGATGGGTTCGCAGGTGACAGAAACTAGGTCCTCTATAGTCCCTATTACCACTGTTGATGAACTTGCTTCCCACCTGCATATGAGTGATGCAGGGTTAAGTTTGGCTATGAGAGGCTAAAGAAAATAGACCTGTGTAAGCTGGGCATGGTGGCGCACACCTGTAATCCCAGCACTTGGGAGACTGGGGCAGGAGGACCGGTGCGAGTTCGAGACCAGCCTGGGCTCCAAAGTGAGCTCAAGGCCAGCCTGAGCTGCATAGCTAGACCCTGTCTCAGAAAGACAAAAAAAAAAAAAAAAAAAAGAAAGAGAAGAAAATAGACCTGTGCTCCTATACTGTGACTCTGCCAACCTCACAATACTATCTCAAGATCCAAAACAGCTATTCCAATTCCAGCCATCACATCTATATTCTAGACCACAGAGAGGAGGAAACAGCATACCACTTGCCACTGGAGACACACACACACACACACAAACTGAAAGCTTAGAACAGTGGCCCACAATAACTTCTAATAAAATGAGGCCCAGCCAGGCATGGGGCATAAGCCTGTAATCCCAGCTACTTGACCTGCTGAGGTAAGAGGAACAAATATGAGGGCAGCCTGGAAACTTACCGATACCCTGTCTCAAAATTAAAAGTAAAAAGGCTTAGAATGCAGTTCACCAGTCTGGACTACACAGTGAGATCCTGTCTCAAAAAAAAAAAAGAAAAAGAATGCGGTTCAGTGGCAGACCCCCCTAAATTGCTATAGCCGAAGGCCTCACAGATGTTATACATAAAAGAGACAAGTAGTGAACTATTAAAGTTGAGGCGGCTGCGCCCTGAGCCTCGTCCACTTGTCTCTCTACAATCTCCTGGTCTGAGGTCTAACCCAACCCTAAACTCCTGGGACTTCAGTGAATTCCTTTCTGCCAGAAGAAGTGGGCCTCAGGTGGCCTGGAGGGAGCCAGTGTCCTGGGCACTGCGGCAAAGAATGGGGTGACATCAGTTGACCAGTTTAAGAGGGGTTCCACCACACACAGTCACTCTCAGCTTTAACATAAACTCTGACTAGAGGCACAAAAATCTTTTCCTTCTAGCTCATCAATCAAAACCAAAACACTATGGCTAGGCATGGCAGCACATGCCTGTAATTCCAGCTTGGGAGGCTGAGGCAGGAGGATCTTGATGAGTTTGAGACCACCTTGGGCTACAGAGTGAGTTCAAAGCCAGCCTGTACTATATAGTGAGACCCTATCTCAAAACAAAAAAACAAAAAAACCCATAAAACAAAACAAAAACACTTTTCTGCTTGATGACAGGCACACAAACTGGTGTTTAATACAATGGTAGAAATCCACAGAACAGGAATAGTTCCAAAGGAAATGTAGCTGTCAGAGAGTACAGTTAACACAAACGCCATTGAAGTTAACGTGTATCACTCCTGAGAAGCTTCTGGAACTTCATGCCCTACCTATTTTACTCCTTCTGGCTCCCCTTCCTTGCCCTGTCCAAGCCACGGTTCCGGCTTGATTTCAAATAAACTCAATCAACACTAGGCTCTAAACTTCTGGAGATTTGCTTGGGGACAATGAAGTCCACGCACCAACCACAGGTGCCATCCCAGGAATGGCCTTGGGTATCTCAAGGCCTGCGGCTGGACAGGGTCATTGGGAGGTGAGGACAAGGTCTTTAAACCAATAATCTCTCCAGATGTTCTAGAATGAGGTCACGAGGGAACTGTGAATTACCTGCGTGCCAAACATCTGATGAGATGCAATTTCCTGATGACTCTGGTTTTATAACTATTGCAAGGTGAAGAGAGCCTTTATGTGTGTAAAGACCAGGGCGCCTTATAAACCCAGCACTAGCACTAACCAGCCCACAGGAAGCACCTGGAGCTCCAAAGAGCTGGTAAACGTGGGCAGGGAGATCCTTTGCAGAAAAAGTAGTGCTGGACAGCACAGCCGCACAGAGGCAGAACAAGGAAACAGAGACCAGCTCTACTTAAGGTTGCAGAGACAGTGCTTTTTCATTGAGAACGGGTGTAGGAGTAGGAGAACTGACGTTTGGCCGGCAGCCTCTGGCAGCTCTGGAGAAACTGGCGGATCCCACTGCAGAGAAGGCGAGCAGTGTGCGGCTCCTCAGGGCAGCAGAGCCTCTCCCCACCGCACCTCACTCAGCAAGGGCCAAGTTTGTGGACTGCAGCCGCGCGGTCTCCTGGCAGATGTTCTCCTCCACGGTATCACACTCAGCCAGGAACGCCTACAAGACGGACACAGGCAGTGAGGGGCTGCCAGAGCTAGCCAGCCACTGCCCATCCTACCCTTGGCCATTCTGGAGCCAGGGCATGGGGCAGGGACGGGCACCCAGCCTGGGCTCCAAGGTAAGGCAAGGGAGGGAGAGGAAGTGTAGACCTAGGGATTCTGACCGCATTCTAGGCCAGTAACTCCCAAAAAGGTCAGACACAGGGAGCCTGCCCTCAGAACCACAGTTCCGCAACCATACAACTAAAGGGGCCCCGCAAACATGCACGGCGTTAGCACTCTCTGCTCGCTACTGGATTTCCTCCTTAAATAATTTAAACTTAAATGTAACTATAGGGACATGAAGCGGACTCTTCTCTGATGCTCTGGGTTCATGCTGATAAGGAAACAATAACCAAAAAGTCCCATGCCATAACCACATTTCTACCCTGCTCTACTCCGAACAGATAAAGCCATACACAAACAAATCAGCGCATTACAATTTACCATGGACGACCACACCACTCACCTGAACCTTTTTCACCAAGCCCTTCCGTTTTAGCCTACTGTCTTTGAAATTTTCTGGGAGGATCTATGGAAGAAAAAGTTGCCATATGAACAATCTTCAGTGACAATGACATAAAACATATCAGAAACACAACATACCAAACAACTTACTGATGTGAATGAAATGTGTATTTTTAGGACCGGTACCTCAGGCCGGGGATTTAGCTCAGCAGCACAAATGCCTGCCTGGCAAGTGCAAGGCCCTAAGTTCAATCCCTAATACCAAAAAAAAAAAAAAAAAAGAAAAAGAAAAAAGGACCCATTTCTCTAGGTCTGTAACCTCCACAGCACTTTCCACAGCTCTTGTCCCCATAGGAGGAACTTTGTTCATAATGGGCCATGAAAAACTGATTGACCGGGCATGGTGGCACACACCTGTAATCCCGGCACTTGAGAGGCTGAGGCAGGAGACCACCGATCAGGGCCAGCCTGGGTTACACAGTGAGTTTCAGGCCAGCCTGAATTACATAGCGAGACTGTCTCCAAAAACCAAAAAAACCAACAGACTCTCCCCACCACCACCAAAACTGATCTGTAATACACTTTGTTCTTTCACTGTTTCCTATGTACGGATGCTATGCCCTGGCTAGATCATGTGCCAGAGAAAGTACTTCCACTTCTTTTTTATAACCCACCCCTCACCACTGTCCAGGGAATCCCAAGTCCAGAGTAGTTCACTCTTCAGAATAAAGAATAGGGCTAGAGATACCATTACTGTCATCTGTAAAAGAGAACCTGGGGTCAGCTGATTCAACAGCCTCACAAGACCTGGGTCTGGTAGAATTCTCTGTAGGAAATGAGCTCAGTGGAATCATTAGTCATCTGAGTGCCAGGGAAAATGAAGCTGTTTCTTTGACCATGAGACGATGGAACACTTGGATCCCAGGCTTCAGAATTACAGACTTCAGTTATATACATATATATACACATACAGACATACCTGAATAAGATCAAACATTTTATATATATATATATATATATATTTTTTTTTTAATATGACAAAAGCCCCTGTTGGTGAGCTGTAAGTGCCTAAAGATCAGGAGCTAGCCTCCTTTGCTGTGTATTCATCCAGGACCAAGCATGCTGTCTGGTAGATGTTCAACATCCTCAAGTGTTGGGTTTGCTCAGGACATGAGTGTGTTACTGAAAGAGTGAAAGTGACTGAGAACCGCCATGGAAAACTAATTCTTCTGAGCTGAATATGTATTTACCATTGCGTCAATCTCCTCCAAGATCTTCATAAACTGCTCAATGGTGGCTTTTACTCTCCTATCAAGTTTGCAGAGGGCTTCAGCTTGCAAATCCTTGGCCAGAAAGCCCTATGGAGGAATAAGGCATTACCAGAAGGGCTCCTTGAGGCTGATGGGAAACTCCCCGCCACGGCGCTGATGAAGTGGTCACACCCTGAGTCTACCACTGCCATAACGGACCAGGCCGCATCTCAGACCGAGGACTTCAGCTCTTGGGAAAAGCACAAAGGCTGGCCTTCAGCCCGTCCACCAACTCTGTGAGGCTGCAGGTGTACACCTGACATAAACCATGAGGCTTCAAACACTTCCAGAGGCCTGGCTCTGATGATGTCCCCATCCCAGGTGTGCACCTGCACACGGGAGGCAGACAAAAGCACAGGTTTTAGGGTCTGACAGGCCTGTGTGTGAATCCTGACTGCAGTTTACTGGTTTGTGCCTTACAAGTAATTTTTATTTTCTGTATTAGTACCAATATGTTTATTTAAAATTTCCATATAGCTGGCGTGGTGGTACATGCCTGTAATCTCAGCACTTGGAAGGCTGAGGCAGGAGGATTACAGCAAGTTTGGGGCCAGCCTGGGGTACAAAGTGAGTTCAAGCCAGCCTGAACTACATGGTGAGACCCTGCCTCCAAAAAAAAACAACAAAAATATTTGTATATAGGCATAATTATACTGAAAACACAGTACACACCCGTCATGTCATAAAATGAGGGAGGGAAAAGTGGTCTTGAGCTATTCCTAATCTTTACTGGGCTTTGGTAACCCACCTGTAATATGAGAAATTCAATAGGATGACTCCCACCCCTAAGACACCTCACTAAAATCAAGCTCAACCTGGACCTTTTATGAATCAACAGAATGTTCTTTGCTTTGCCAAACACAGCACAACACTCTGGACTGCAAGAAGCCACCTGTTCTGTTTCAGACGCGACATAATTCTAACCTGGCAGATGCGATGCTGGCTGGGGTCTGACACAACAGTGACAGCAACACCTTTTTAAAAAAATAACACTTTAAAAGTATTTTTTTTTTTTTTTTAAACAGTGCTGAGATTGAAACCAGGGCCTTGAGCATTTGGGGCAAGCACCGTACACTGAGCTATTCCCCCAGCCCTAATAAACAATTTTAACTCTCACAACAATCCCGAGGGGGAAACATCATTAACACATGACAGGGCCATCATTTGTACACTGGGCAGCCGGGCTGCTCTGATCCACTGGTGACACACGTATGACTGTCTCATTGGGTGGCATGTGTTAGTATCAGTACCAATATGGTGTTGGTACTAATGATTAGTCCCATCAGGGGTTATAAGCTGCCAGATGGAACAGTTGTGCCTATACCACCGGTGGTTCAAACTGGTGGGAACGTGTAAATGCTCCTTTTTACTGGTGAGAAACTTGAAATAAAGACAAACTTGTCAACAATAAGAGAAAAGGCATGACTTGGGGATGTAATCAGTGGTAGAGAACTTGCCTAGCATGGGCAAGGCCTTGGGTTTGATCCCCAGCACTGAGAGGAAAACAGGGACAGAGACAGAGAGACAGATACCAGGATCTGAACCTAGGGAGTCTGACTACAGAGCCTACCCTCATACCCACGCATTATATCCACAAAATCGTTATAGAAGGTAGAAAGTCAGAGTTCATGAAGGATGCTACCTGCTGGATTCCAGTAAGTTCTTTATTCAACTCTTTCAGGTGGTCAGCTATCTTTTCCACAGACTTCTCCAAATTTTTCAACTTCTTTAGTTCAACTTCTTCCTCTGGATTGCTCTAAAATGAAGTTGATAATCACCAAAAGCAGAAGCCTCTGATGGGAAAAAAAATCTGACTACAGTTGGGCTAACCCATTCAGCTAGAGGTTGTAACTCTGCTTGGAAAATAAATCAAAGGTTATATATTAAGGTTTCCTACCTAGGAAGACTCCAGTGTGGACGGGAGGAAAGTGTTCAGTAAACACTCTTACGGCGGGCCTGACAGCTGGAGCTCAGAGTCCAGCCCACTGAAGGGCCAGATGCAGCTTTAGCTCCAGGCTCACCAACAGCCTGTGCAGAGGCTGGAGGGCAAACAGATTACACTGAACACCTCTGAGTTCAGAAGGATTCACCTATTCTTTTAAATGGAATTTCTAAATGCTGCCCTCCAACTGAACACACCTATTTAATATGACAATGACAATGAATACTTTTTTTCAGTAGTAAGGGGGATTGAACCCATGGCCTTCACATTGAGCTATATTGCCACCACCTCCCCTTTTAAAAATTTTTTTATTTTAAGACAAAGTCTTGCTAAGTTGCTCAGGCTGGTCTCAATCTTGCGATCCTCCCGCTTGGCCTCCCAGGGTCTGTTTAATGAACGCTATTTAAGGAACACGTTCACTGAACACTCACCGTGTGCCAGCACTATCCTAAGCATATTACCTGTATGTTCTTCCTAAACCTTACCACAACTCTAAAGGCATGTTGTTTTACAGATGATCAAGCTGAAGTTTACTATAGTAACCTAAAGTCACACACGCAAACAGTGTAGAACAGACTGGAATTCAGACCAGCCTCTGTATTTGCTGGAACAAACGCAATGGAAGTCTTACAGCTTCTTCAGACTCGACCCATGGCTTCTGCTGCTGTTCATCCCCATTCTCCCTGCCCTTCAGCAAGAAATTCAGAATATGTGGCCTTCTCTCACCTAAACAACTGGTAACCAGGGCCATACACTTCCTGCTTTGTTATACTGTCCTCAGTTGTTTTCTTCTTCATGGCCAAAGCCTGAGTCCCAGGCTCCTGGAGATTCCAGGTCCGGATTAGATTTCCTTCTGTTTTGCTAATCTCTGCCCCTCTCCACTCAGCCACCTCAAGCGAAGGAAGGGAACTTCATACGCTCAGCAGCTCTACTGTGCTACTTGGTCACGATGCTTTCTATCGCCTTAGGAGCTGCTGCCTTCACCTGTCACCAACTGAAGCTTCTCCCACCACAGTTGTTTAGTCTGAACCTTTCTAGTCAAAGTTTTCCTCGGGGGAGATTCCAGTAACAGCGGTGGTTAAAGAGAGACAGGCTCTCCAATCCTTTTCCACTTTTTTTGAGATAAGGTCCACTAAATTGCTAGTTTGCCCAGGTGAGGCTCAAACTCGCAGTCCTCCAGGAGTGATCAAACTGAGCTAAATCCAACAAGCTAAGGCTACCTCAGCCTCCAGAGTGCTGGGACCAGAGGCGTGCACCTCCACACCTGGCTCACAGTACCTGCCACTGAGGCAGCACAGTGGCTTCTAATTCTTATCCAAATCAACAAGAGCAGAAAGGTACAAACAACAGAACAACAAAATTGGTAATAGTCACAATCAGTGACTATTTTTCTTAGAGAAGTGTTTTGCCAGTGCAGAATCTGGGCCCCCAGTTTGGCCTTCTACACAGAAACAAGTATAAAAGACTTAGTCATTTGATTCTGTGGAATTCATGTGGAAAAAGTAGTTTACCTTTTCTCCAATTAACATGACTCGGCAACCATTCTGTATTCCAAGTGCTGACAATGGCATCTCCATTTCCTTCAGAGATTTTCCTGAAAAGAGAAGAAAAGTATGTCAAACTATAACAATTGTACAACAAAGGAAATATCAGCAAAGATACAGGAAACAGACAAACGTGTTCACTAACAAGATGATGATGAATTGGTATAACCTTTTTACAAAGTGTCTTGACCCAAAAATTTCACTTGATATTTATCCTAAACAAATAACAGGACATGTGCCTACACAGCAACTATTACACAGTACAATCTTTTTTTTTCTTTTTGCAGTACCAAGGATGGACCACAGGGCCTTTATACTAAGCTACACCCCCGCCTTTTTAAAATTTTTTTTTGAGACAGTGTCTTAGTTATTTTTCTCTTGCTGAAACAAAATATGCAACACCCAAAATTAAGGAAGGAAAGGTTTATTTAGCTCACAGTTTGTGGAGGTTCAGGCCACTCTCAGCTGGCTCCAAGGCAGGGTGGCACATGGCAGAGGAGCAATAGTTCAGGGTGGCAGAAGACAGCAAAAGCAACAAAAGCCAGAAAGAGAGGAGAGAGGAGGACGGAGAAAGAAAGCCTCTTTCCCTCCCTTATATTGTATGCAGGCTCCCCACCCCACGGCAGGTGCACAAACTCTAGAAGCCCGCCCCATGACCTCGTAAGACTTTGGGGGGACATCTAGACACAAACTGTAACAGACAGGCTTTCACTAGGTGGCTAAATTGTCCAGACTGGGCTCCAACCTGCAATCCTTCCATCAGTATGCACCACTATGCCTGTCTTGGTACAATCTTGTAATAGTGAAAAACTATGAAGAGCCAAATACTCAGGAATTGGGGGCTGATTAATCATACATTTGTACAGCAGACTTTGTAGGCATTAAACTTATTTTTTCAGGATACTTCAATCACACAATGAATGTTGATGACCCAATGTTATAAAGAAAAAAATACTACCAAATGTAGGGGTTAGAGATTTAGCTCATTGGTAGAGTACTTGCCAAGCATGCATAAGGTCCTGGGTTCAAACCTTACCAATGCAAAAAAAAAACAAAAAACAAAAAACGTTATAAGGGACTTTACCCAGGGGAACATTTTCTTCTTTGTGTTTTCTTCTATTTTAGAATATGAATTTCTTTCTTTTTCTTTTTTTTTTTTTTTTTTTTTGGCTTTCTGAGACAGGGTCTCACTATGCAGTTCAGGCTGGCCTTGAGCTCACTTTGTGCCCCGGCAGGTCTTGAACTCACAACAATCCTCCTGCCTCAGCCTCCCTGAGTGCTGGGATTACAGGCGTGTGACACCACGCCTGGCTCTAGAACATGAATTTCTGTTGTCTTTGTAATTCAGAAAATACAGTCTCACTATGTATTCCAGAATGGCCTTGAACTCATTATACAACCCAGATTACCCTCTAACTTGCAGTGATCCTCCTGCCTCAGTCTCCTGAGTGTTGGCCCACCCAGAAAATGTTTAAAAAAAAAACAAGGAGATGCACTATCAATATAAATAAAAATATTCTCTATTATTAAATTCTTTATAATGACTGGTACCCAGTGAGGTAAGCCTACCCCTATCAGATTATCAGAATAATGGATTTCTATGGAAAAAGGAAGGCAGACGGGTAAGGAAGGGGTGAGTCCTAGTGGAAATCAACATCATCCAATGGACCTGCTACATCAAGGCCCCTGGTATGTTTATTCAAAATTTTCTCTGCGTCTGCACAACACCAAGCACTGGAAACATAAAATTATTCTTCCCTCATGGAATGTTATCCTAACAGAAAAAAAGATGTTAAGCAACTAAGAAAATTTCAGTACAAATTATGCAGAAGTTGTAGTGCACACCATGTGAACATAGAGGATCTAACCTAGCTAGGGAAGACTGCCTATGTGCTTTATCAAAACTGATGAGACTTCGGGGCTGGGGATTTAGCTCAGCGACACAGCACCTGCCTGGCACGTGCAAGGTCGTGAGTTCGATTCCCAGTACTGAAAGAAAAACAAAACACACACACATACACACACACACACACACACACACACACAAAAAAAAAAAAAAGAATGGTGAGACTTCTACCATCATGCCAGTTTAAACCTGATACCTGTCCAAATGCTTGAAAAATCCAGTACAAAGCAGGTCTTCCCTATTTGTTGAACAAATGAATGAATAAACACTGTCCCAGTTTGAAAACTGAGTTACTGTAGGGTTAGGTAGTTTTAAATGTTCCCTTTAGCCAAAGAAACTCGAAGCTAGAAGACAAATACCTACCCTTAAATATGAGCTTTTGAAAAGGCAGTGGAACCCCCCTGGCCTCTTCAACAGCCTGGGCCAGGTCTTGGACAGTTGGTTCAGTTCTGCCCTGCTGAGCAGTAACATGAAGGTCCTGCTTTTCGCTGCCTGGTCAGAAATAGAAAAGCATTTAATGAATACAACTCCTTCACATAAACCAGTACTGAGAGACACTTTATTACATTTATTTTACCCAGCCTTCAAGGACCAACTATGTTACTCCAAGATGCCTTCCCCGTCTGCTTAGCTTTCCTCTCATGATCTGCTCCAAGATTTCTTTCCCCTCTATCTTAAGAACAACTTCAACCATAGCTAGTATTTTAAGCACTTATGCATGAGACTTTACAAGACTCATTTCATACATTACCTTATTTAATGCTCAGAGAAGCTCCATGAAGTAGGTACTACATATTATTCTTTACTTCACAGACAAGCAAACTGCAAGTTCAATTCAGTTAGCACTTGCCTATGGCAACTAGTGGACTAAGATTCCAAAGCCATTTTTCATCACAAGCTATCTGCTTGTGACCTGGCTAGCCTATACTTTATTGTATTGGTTTTGTCTCCCTTGCTGTAATGTGCAAGAGACTGTTTCTTCCAAGACTCCCATCTGACACAAACCTAGGTACATCGCAAACGGTGAGCAGTAAAGAAAAATACAGTCAAACAGCAGTGAATATTTTTGAAGCACAAGTGCTGTTTTCCAAGAAGGATACAAAACAACAACAACAACAACAACAAAAAAAAAAAACAAGAAGGATACAAAGTAAGTGGCTTATGTCCATGCATTACACCAAGTTCCATGATGCTGGTGGGGGCAGGAGTCACCAACTCTATTTACAGAGAAGGAACCACAGGCCTAGAGAGGAGAAATCCACAAGGTCACTCAAAACTGGAGGAGCTAGAATCCTGGTTTCCAGATTCCAAGCCGCTCCCGCCTCCTGTGTGGTCAGGAGAAGCCTCAGGGACTCACTGGAGAGTGTGCTAACTTTGTTCAGCTGTGTGTCAACTGCAAGAGTACCAGGGAGCATGACTGGACGCACGGCCCCCTCCAACAGTGGATGTGCGGCACCCGCGCAGCCCACCACGTTCAGACTCATCGCACACGAATGTGTCCACACACACTGCAGTTGTACACAACGTGACCCAAGCCTGACACGAAGACATGCAATAACCGCGCGAGCACACGAACACACACGACCGGGGACACGATGTGCCAGCACGCTCCGACGTCGAGGATCCAACAGCTGGCCAGAGACAAACACAGCGGTCACGCGGAAAGCTGTGTGACACAGGCGCTAG